TTACAGTCTTTTTCCTTTTATAAGAATCTGAATGCACATCCAGGACTATGTGTTTCTCCTCTGTATTCACAGATTCTTGCCCAGGAAATTACTCAAAGCAAGTGATCCACAAATACAAATTCAATGGAATAAAAAGCAGAATATTGGCTGTTTTACAGGATCCAGCACACACTGCTGACATGAAATGTTGAGCCCCAAAGAAATCCATCCAATCTATGTTGACAACAGAATTATACACATTCAAAGGAGTCTGATTTGAAGAAATTTCTAATCTGAACAGAAGACAGCAGATATACCTTCCAAATCATGTCTATTCCCAGTGTCCCTGATTCATGTGCATCATTTTCTAGACATGTGATGTTTGTGGGCATGAAGAAATCAATATTGACACAATCTAATACCTGTTAAATGACCATGGCTATATCAAGCTCTTGGGTTAAATGTTTCATGTACATGAGCAAAGTAGATTTTAAAAATAATTCATACAAATATAAACAAAATATTTAGTGGAAAAATTATTCCACAATTGTGAACCAAAGGAAAATTTTCTCCTATAGCATCTTAATTATTCTTAGCCAAAGAACTTTTCCTGTTTTAGGAGCTCAGCATTTCCACAAAATTCTTTCAGGGACTAGGAAGGTAGGCCAAGTCACTTTTCTACCTCTCTGCCTAAACTCAGAGATGATACACAGAAACACACAGACACACACATACACAAACACACACACACTTATATATTATATATATATATATATAGCCTTATTTATGTATATAATTGTGTGCATATATATGTATATATTTATAGCATTTTTAAAAAGCAAACATGTAAAAAAGATTACATTTTTTAAAAAATAATAAAACAAAAGCAGAGTCAAAATGGCTGTTTTGTTTTATTCTTTTTCTCTAGATGCATTCTTGTTCATATGAATATACTTGCACTACAGCATTTCACTGAACACTGAGTATTCTGTTTGTATTTTAAAAGATGGAGTTGTGGTATAGGATTTGGGGAGTAAGTTCCAAAATATAATGTAAGTATTGTCATGTCAAGAACTGACTTTTAGAACTTAAAAGTGCATTATTTTTCTTAAGTGACTTTATTCACTAAAAGATAATGGCAGTCACAATCACCATGAACTAATTGGAACTGATTGAGGCAGAAAGAATACAGCAGAGTCCCTAATAGAAAATCTGTGTTTTCTAAATTGTCTAAATCAATGTTGGTCACAAATTGAAACCGATTAATTTTATTTACCTTAAAAATAATTATTTCACTCATTTGTGCTTCCAGGTGTTATTTTTATTAAAAAACATTTTTAATAATCACCAATGGAAAGCATTGTAGAATGTCATGGACAGAAGAAGCTCCCTGTTTAGCAGTGTAGTGAGAAGAACCCATGAGAGTAATTTGTTTTAAAATTAGTGCCTTGTAAATCATTATTAAACTGGAACCTCTCTGCTGCGTGATATTCATCACCATGGAACTTGCTATTATTTTTATTTTTCCCTAATCAATACAAAAATATGAGCCTAATTGGGCATACAAACGTAGTGGTTAAATTAACCTTGTGTGTTACTTATGTGTCTTCCCTCTGTTTCTCAGCAAGGGAAATAGAAAATTGATGATGTCTTTGTAATCTTGCTTTAGTTTGTTTTAGGAAAGGCTATGAATAAGAGCAATAAATATATAAATAGATGAATCTAGGATCTACCTTTTTTTTTTTCATTTGATCTTCATCATAGCTCCAGGGAAAATCAGGCAAATGTTCAGACCTCATTGGTCATGGCAGAAAGTAAGGGTCCCCAGAGGCTGAAGCCTTACTTGGAAAAACTGGGTGGAACACGGAAAAGGTCTTCACCACTTTTACTAT